GCCATGGGCACCGGCAACCAGCGGCGAGGTTGCGGGGCCGGCGGGGATTGCTCCTCCGGGCCGGCAGCCGGGGAGCTGGGCGTGCAGAGAGCGCTCCGCTTTGTGCCTGCCTTCTCCTCCGTGCGAGGCTTATTTACACCAGTTCACAAATCCTCTACGATCCGTTCTCGGATGCTGACAAGGCTTATGCGCCTTCTACATAGATATGTATATATATATAATTTCTCCCCACACTTACTCCCGTGCCGGAGCTTTCGAGAGGCAGCCGGGTCCTGCCGATGTGAAATGGCAGATATCTATTAAAGAGAAATAACGTGCAGCGTTTTTCCAACTAGGGGGTCAAATTCCAGGCGGCTTTACTGCCGCCGTTATTTTATCGCCTCTTGGAAGGGAATAAAAAAACCTCTAAATGCGGCGGTAGCCATTTTGCATTAGTATTTTCCAGATTTGGCTTTTAAAACATTTGGAGTGCTAGCCCAAATTGTGTTGCCTTCCAAACAAAAGAGCCTCGATGCGTATACAAGTGCATTAGGACACAGCTTCACACGCACACTCATGCACACTCAACATGACATAGAGAGATATAACTTATATATTAATCAATATTTTTGCTGCACTTATTTTACTTTTACAGAACTCAAAGTGGAAGCATTTTATGGCAGCTATTTTTCTTCAGAATATCAATTTATTTTTTTTCCAGTGCTAAGTAATGCGAATGTGAATTGAGATACCATAGAAGCAGAAAAGAAAACYCCCGTGTAAATAAGATTTTTTTAAAAAAAAATAATAAAGAAAGAAAGGAAGAGAAAGAGAGAAAGAAAGAAAGGTGAGAAAGAAAGAGAGGTAAAAAAAAAAAAAATCGCTCTAAGCTCACGAAGCCCCAAGAAATGCAGTCCATAATTCAAAGCCCCTTCAGTGTACAGCTAGTTCACCAAAACCTCAGCATACGCTCAACGGGAACCASAGAAAATTGCCCGCTTCGAAATCTCTTTCCTCGCTTCCCCTGAAGTTTAACGCCGAGTTTTTACTTTAATACTAGTAGTGCAGATTAAGCAGTTTAGCGGCATTAAAAAAAAAAAAAAAAATCTCCCTGCAACATCTTCACTTTAACTGAAAGTTTATACACAGGGATTAATAGAACGATTTTTTTAAAAAGGATTTTTCTTCCTTTTACTATTTAAATATCTTATACATAGCTAAAACTTTTTTTCCCCCCTGCAGATCATAAACTACATCACACAGCATAACGAGACAGCCCGCTGTAGCGGGAGCTAGCAAAAACATAAACCAAGTGTTTTCTAAAATCTCTTGTCTTTCTACAATATGAACATTTCTAATTAAAGAAAAAGGATTAAAAATAATTTGCTTATCTTTTCTCACACAAACACACCAGCGACACTCACACAGACAGAAATGCTCATCTCAAATATTTAAAATTCTGGGCCGATTCTCTAATACTTTAACCAACGCCATATATGCTTTGGGAAGGTGGTTACATACATACATGCCTGTAGCTCAAAAGCTGAGGCTTCCACATATATTAAAGTAAGTCACAGATGATTGCAAATATACATCTTTTAACCAAGCCTTTTGGGGATTAATAGACTGTGACAAACCTATAGGATTTAGTAGCAGAAGGAACAGAAGGTAAATAATAATAATAGTAGTAGGAAGCACTAAGGAAAGGCCTGGTAGCGTTTATTAAACGTGGTTCTACTCCCCTGACTTTTCCTCTGTTTCTTCGCTGCTGGGCTGTGTGGAATTTATGAATTTGTTTTCCTTTTTCCATTTCATCCGCCTGTTTTGAAACCATATTTTAATCTGGCGTTCAGTAAGGCAGAGAGCGTTTGCAATCTCAATACGTCGTCTTCGGGTTAAGTATCTGTTAAAATGAAATTCCTTCTCTAACTCTAGCGTTTGGTATCTGGTGTAAGTTTGCCTCCCTCGTCTCCCATGTGTTCCATATACTGTACCTGTAGAAGTAAAGACAAAATGATCGCATTGGACAGGGCCCAGTGATTTCCAAGCAGAAAGAGCTATTAGTATATTCTTGCCTCCTTTTGCAGGCACAATCACGGGGAGCGGGGGAAGCTGCTCTGGTTTCCTGGAGGCTTTTTTTTTTTTTTTTTTTTTTTTTTTATTTTTTTTTTTTTTTTCCCCAATTCTCTCTTTTCCTTTTCTCCTGCCTGACGAGCTGTAAATGCAGATGTACAGTGTGCTTACGGCCGTGGGGTGAGTGGGATATACAAAGAGGCTTTAAGCTGGACCTAGGGAAGGTGCAGGAGGTAGCAGAGTGTGAATCGCTGAGCAGTGGCTGCTCTGCGCGCTGGGAGCCTGTGCGCGCACACACAGACACAGGCACACGTGTGCTATCCGGGGAGCCTCACGCATGTGGCTGTGCGTGTGTGTGCACGCACATGCGGCTGTGTTGACACAAACACACAGCCATTGCCGTGGCTGTGGCTACAGAAGGTCTCTAAGTATAATTATAGACATTCAGCTAAAGATCTTAGAAGAGCGTTTTGCCATTTGCTCCTGAATTTATTGCTCTTGAATGCAAAGYAGCATCAGAATGGTTTTGCTRAAAGTTTAATTTWWWWAAAAAAAGSAATGAGACCTACCCTGCAGCAAACATAAACTCGGGAGGATAGAAGACGAGTCATTAGCAAATACTTGAAGTAAACGTTTAAATTTGGGATTATAAAAAATAAATGTCACCCCAATACAACCTTCCCACTCCACCCCCACCCCCCACTCCCCCAGCACCACTCCTGCACAGAATAGTTAAATTATGTGAAGTTGACTCCTAAGTCAGAAAAAATTCGCTGTGACATGGAAGTGCGCCCACGGCCCCAGAAACGTGCTCTCAATATCCAATACTCACAAGCTAATGAGCTGGGGGAGGGGGGCGAGGAGGAATGTACCACAAATGCATTGGATCCTCAGTACAGAGGGCATATTCCATGCATCGCTCTCTGACAATGAAGAAGCAGAGCAGAGGCTTTGGAATGGCTTTAAGAGAGTGATAAAACTGCTTTGGTCTTTTTTTTTTTTCCCCCCCCTGTACTTTCTAAGGATCCCCAGTAACTTTCACCAGTAAACCTACATGCTGGGATCTTCGCCACCGTTCCCTGGGTGCCAGCGTGCCAGGTCTAAAATAACCAGGGAAGGTTTCATGCTACATATTGCCATGTAGGAACCATGTTTCTCCAGCAAACTAGACTTYATGTAAGAACAGGAAAAAAAAAAAAAAGAAAGAAAGAAAGAAACTTTTCCTTTTCCTCCCCTCCCCGCCCTTGATTGTACCGAGATGCCTTACCAGCGCAGGAGTTCATCCGCTGCATCCAGGGGTAAACAGGGCTCGTGTACTTCCGGTCGGTGCCTTCGTCATTTATAATTTTGGTTTGGCCACCGTTGGATTTGTACTGTTGATCGGGAGAAAAGTGCAGGTAGTCCCCGGGCCCCCTCTGTTTGCCACTGCCGGAAGGAGAGGCGCTACTAATGTCCTTGTCCGAATAAAAACAAGAGGCTCCGTACTCATAGGAAGCCCGATTGCAAGCAATGACGGTGTTGGACTGTTGGTAGAAACAAGGTGAGGTGTAAGTCTTGTCCTGCAGGCTGCTTGCCCCGTACGAAGCCGGAAAATGCCTGAGAGCATCATAGCCCGCCGGGTACAGGGGGATCTGCCCGAGGTAGGAGTCCTGGCCCCCGGGCAGGCTCCCCGGGAAAGTGGGATTCACAAAATAGGAACTCATTTGCTCTCCCCCTCTCCCGGACCGTGATTTGTTGTGTATTAGTACATCTGGCGATAACTATTAGGAGTCATCGAAGTGGTTTGTTTCTGGATGGCCGAGCGCCAAAAGCGACAGCAGAAAATAGGAGCAGCTGACGGCGGGGCGGCCAATGGGAGCGCGAGCGGCGCCCGCTCCCCCGGGGCCGCCGCCACCGMGCCGCCAACTTACCGGCAGCCCCGGCCCCGCCGCGCCGCCCCGCGCCCCTCGCACCGCGCCGCGCAGCCCGCGGGACCGGCCGCGCCCCCGCCGCGGCACCGCCCCTCCGCGGGAGAATAATCCAATAATAATAACAACAGTAACAGCGATAATTCCCGGCAGCGCGGGCCGTGTGACAGCGGCGAGCGGGGACACCCCCCACCCCCGCACGGCTGCCGGAGGTGTGTGGAGGGGGGCGCCCTTAAAAGTTGGAGGCCCCACGACAGGGGAGTCGCGCAACCCCGCGGGAAGGGTGGGCGAACCGCCCCCGGCTCTCCGGCGGAGGGAAAGAGGAGGGAGGGAAGGAGACGGCGTGGAGGATGCTGCGGAGGGAAACTTTGGAGCGGAGGGAGCACGTGAAAGGGGGACCGCGTGAAAGSGAGCGCCTCTCAAAGTGGGGGGCGAGGGGGGCCCGGCCTCTCTCCATTTTGCCTTCGCGATGCCACAACCGAATCCAACACTTTCTAAGCTATTCTAAAACGTATTTATTTATCCATTCAGTCGAAAATTGCCCCTCCACTAAGGCTTTCCTTCGGAGCTCAGGGAGCCCACCCCACGCCGAGCCCAGCTTTTGTGAGAGAGGCTAACGCATCCTGCAGTGGAAGAGGTCTCGTATCTTAATGAACATCCCCATAATTAACGAGGAGCTTGTGGCGGTGGCCTATTGGGGAGTGGGATTTTTGATTTGCACCAGGTGCCCGAGGAGGCCTCGGGAAGAGCTGTATGGGCTCCCGGCGCCCTCCCGGCAGCCCAGATAAAGTTCCATGTGTCTCTTTTGCCCAAGTCTACCCCCCTCCCACCAGAGTAGAGCCGAGGGAATCAA